GTGATCAATTCGTTTTGCTATGCACAATAATTAAAAAAAAATTAAAAAAAGCTACCAGGACAATTTCCTCATCCATTCCCTCCTCCTTTCTCTCTCTTTCCAGAAAAATGCTCTCTGCTAGAGCAGCCAGGAGATTTTTCAGTCTGTTGCTCTTCATTTCTTTTTTTGTTCTCACACTGCTTGCCCAATAGAGCAGCTGTTAAATGGAGAAGTCTGAGAACTGGGGAGGGCTATTGGTGTAGCATTGATTAACAGTATTTTTACAGGAAATTGATACAGTGACTATTTTTAACCTCAGGCAAAGGAAGGATCAAACCCAATCCATATTCAATTACATATGGCAAACTTTTGTAATTTCGGATGCCTTTATAGTCTCTGATATTTCTCTGTTTTTTGTTGGTTTTTTTTTCCTTTACGCTGCTCTCTTTCAGTCTCCCACCTTTGTGGTATCAGGGGATTTTCTGTGGGTTTTTTTTTTTCTTAACTGTATGATTGTACCATCAAGAAATACATTCAATGGCTTTTATTCATAGTACAGTATATTTCCCTATTCACAAGCTAAAGTCTTTTTTTGTACAATTTATAACATTTTTTTCATTACTCAGACTAATTACATGTTGGGGTGAATCAGTCAAAAAGACTCTACATTAAAATAGTTGGGTGATCTGAGCTCAAGGTCTGTTGCAATGCAGTTTTCCCACAGCTTGGCAGAAAACAGCCAATACAGTTCATATAGAAATAGGTGATGATTCCTTCTTTTTCTTTTCTTTCTTTCTTTTCTTGTCTTTTTTCCAGGGAACTGAGTAGATGGATGTACATTAAAGTTTTAATTTTCTAAGTAATTAGAAGTAGATTGTAAAAGGTGGAAAGTCAATAAACTGTATGGCCTTAGATAGATTATGCTAAGAGTCAGGATATCACTGTGAGGGCAGAAAGGCTCTAAATTAGAAGAGTAATTTTAGTCTCTAATTTGATCCATATACCAGAATCAAAAGTGCTTTTGATTCCTAAATCTGTAAGAGTATTTCAGTGGGCCTGTGAACTACACAGAAGGCACAAGCATACTGGCAAGAGGCTTGCTTGTCTTCAAGCCTTTTCTTGCCACCTTCAAAATAATCCATGGTATTTTGGGGGGTTGAGGAGATTTGGAGAAGCTTCAAAATCTCTGAATTCGACAAAATGCTTTATTTTGTAGACATCCAAATTTAATTGAATTGGGTGAATTATCAACTGCTTTGGTTAAGAGGAGGTCCAACACCCAATACAGTTGGCTTGGAAGTACTGAGTGTAGATCAGTGGCAGATCTGACCCTCCAGTATTTCCTTCTTTGCGTTGGAGAAAAATGCATGTTGAATGAGAAGGTGCACACCCTCCTCCCTTGGTGGCCACCACTCTGTAGCTAAATATTTGCTTTTTAAAGTCAGGGGTGGAGAAATAAGATAATCTGACAAAGCTTCACCCCACCCTCTGCTTGGCCTCTCTTCCTTGGCAAGCCTTCCCAGCAGCAGCTGGCTGACTGTTGTTCTCCTGCAGTTGTGTTCATGACATTTCCTGCAACTAGCTTTTCCTGAGGGTTTCCAGCAGTCCTTTTAGCCCCCCACCCCCTTTTTTTTGGCCTCTTCACCAACTAGCAGTGGCCTTGTGCCTAGTTCCCAGCATGTAAGTAGTGCTGTGTCCCCATCCACATATATCCTCTGTATGCTCTCAACAGATACAGTGAGGTTCTGTGGTTTGCTTGTAACTCTGACTAATGTAGTGAGAGTCAGTGGTTAGTTTTAGGGATGCTGAACAGCTATGATGTAAACAGAGGCAGTCCTTCCTCAGGATACCTGCTTCATCAGACAGACACACGCTTTGCTCTGTTTCTCTTTTAACATAATTCTTGTTTGAAGAAGCTGCATGTTCCCGTCTCTATGCAGGAGGACTGACAGAAAGACAAGAGATGAGGGAGAGTTAATGCACAGATCCTGGCTTACTTAACATGCTGCTGCTCTCCCTCTGCAGACTACTGAAAGCTGCATAAACCGTCCTTTCGTATGCTTTTATAAACATTCAAGTGACTTTAATCTTTTGGAGTAAAAGCTTACTTGTATATTAAGCTTTCTGTTATCAGTGTCATTAAATCAATATCCTCAGTGCTGCAGGATCCAAGTCACATAAAAGCTGTCACACACAGTTTAACATAAGCAGTGCAGTATTGAGGTACAGTCAGTTCATTTTTTCATAGATTAGAGTAATTCGAAGTAGAGTTGTTGAAGACCAGAGTGGGTTTATTCTTCATTTTAGCCAGTTTCTTGTATGTTTGGGGGCTTTCTGTTCTAATGACGGTTTTGTTGCAGAACTTTAATGGAGTCTGAGAAGACGAGCAGGTTTTTTATGGAGTTATTATAAGTGACACTGAAAAGCCCTGTGAGCCTTATGTTGTCTGTGTAAAAACATGGGAGATATTCTTTAAAAGAAGTAAATAGGCAAATTAGTAAGAACCTTTCTTGTAAACTATTGTTTATGTATCCTTTTTCCATGTGGTTATGCACACAATTCTGGACAGCTCAGAGACCGTGTAGCCTCACTTAGTGTAGTCCTTTGTCTAATGAGTGACATCTGTGTGTAAAGATGGAGAAAAATAATAATTTGTCCTTTGCCAGAGAGACTTAATAGAGGTTAAAACATACATCTGGGATTTATTTGTGTAAAATGATACGCAAGCGAAGTACTTTGTCTTCTTCCAACCTGACCCTCCGATGCCCTTTCCATTTAGTGTATTAAGAATCAAGATTTATGGAGAGATATCTTACAAATCAGAAATGACAGCTGTTATTACAGCAGATCTTCCTCTCTTACTTTTTTTTTAGCCACTATTCGTCTGTCACAGACATGAAGTAATTTGTAATACAAACTGACTATAGATTCTTTCAATTGCTTAGTTCAAGAAAGCTATAGACATGACATTATACAGCATAATGGGCAAACATTATGCTACATACCTTGCTGCTGGTAAAGCAGAATGAACTCTGCCAACAAAACTCCAAAATTAACTGAAGTTGCAGAAGGCAGTTTTCCAGTTGTGGGTTATGGATCATTGGTCTTCTGCTGTTTTTGAACTAGTGCTCTTCAAGAATACACTGAGCAGCAAGAGATGGAGTTAAGGGAAGGAAGCAGTTTCTGAAACACAGAAACTTTCAGACAGAAACACTCCTATTTCATAGATGGTTTGTGATTTGGAAGATGTGCAGGACCACTGCTGTTGTTAAAGGTGAGACTTGTGGTGGGCACTTTCTGAAAGGAAGTTCAGAATTGATGGATATAGCAGGGAAGATACACGCCTGATCCTGAAGCCTTGCATGGGGCCTTTACAGGGCACTCAGAGATGGGGAAGGGCTTTCAGGGAGGAAGGACTGTTCTGTGTTAGTTAACCTCATATACTTCGTTTCACTACATCTCTCTCACCACAGCTGGAAAGAAAGTGACAGGAACTTTCTTGGGGGTTATATCAGTGAGATATTTCTTGGTGATGAGGGGTGTGAATCTTGTCCATTATGAGTTCCCAGTGTGGCACACCTGGGAGAGTGTGAGTTTTACCATTTGCTTTGCTCCACTCATGGGGAAAAAAAGCTAAAAGATGTTAAAGAGTCAAAGGGAAAATAGAGACCCATGGCAGATGAGTGGCAGTCTTTCCTCTCCACAGAGCTCTGCTGCTTCTTTCCTCTCCGCAAAGCTGCAGTCTCAGCTGTTTCTGTGATGAAGTCTTAGGAAAAACAGGGTGAGTCAAGGAGCTAGAAAGTTTGTCTGGGGTTGTTGCTCAAGCAGATAAGAAAATTCCATTTATGTTATCCAGAGATGTGAGTTAAGAAGTAGTAAATGGCCTTATCTATAGCATAGCTACTTGAAGTGTGTGGAAATCCAGTATGAATGTGTGAATGTCCTGGGTTAGGCAGAAACGTTTTATTATCACGAGTAAGGAGGCAACTGTGCTACCTTGTACCTGACACTCGCTGGACTTGTGAGAGAAAAGGAAAATTGCACCAGGGACTTCCTGTACTTGGTTGAGTTTCAGCATGATTAGCCGTGGGTTTTCTTGCCTTCCTTCTCTGTAACAAGGAAAGCAGTACTTGGTTATCTTTCATCTTGACAGCAGAATTATGCTGCAGTAATCTGAGGGCTATTAATTCACCAGTGATTAGTTTATGTTGAAGACTTTTGTAATTAAAAAGTTGCCTTAAGGGTCTAACATAATGCGGACTTTGGGGATTTATGTAGTAGAAAGGGTTGAACACATCCTGGAAATCCTCTAGTTTGCATGTTTTTGTCTATAACAAACTATTACTTCACTCCAGTATTATTTCAATTATTCTGTCATGCAAGTGTTGTGACAGAGTGGAAAATGGGGTATCGGAGCTTCCTGAATGAGGAGATTGCATAGTGGCTAAATCTGTTTATGGAAGATAGAAACGATGTCAATTATAATGCTATGGTGTGTTAAAATAAAATCTTGAATTATGGCATTGCTCTTTCAGTTTGATTGTATGTTTTAAAATAATCAGTATTGTGAAAGAAAATGTCTGTCATTTGGTCATTGCAACACACATTTCAGTGCTTTTAATCCTAAAATGTGAGATTTTTATTACCCAGTGAAAACAAACCCAACAAAGCCAAGTACATGCTGAAGAATAATGTCCTAGTCCTGTAAAAATTAACACATACATTTGTGCTTATACACAATAAATAATCCTGGTTTGCTGTTTACTTAAACGGGATGCAGACTTCTCGCTCAACGTGATGTGAGTTTAATCCCAGTGTGTAAAATTAAGACTGAATAGCAGCCTTTACATGTTTGGTGTTTACGGTAAAGCTGAAAAGACTGACAAAATTTGCTTTCAGTTCTGGTGTATTAATCTAGAAAAGTCTATGGAAGTTGTTATAGCAATGAAAATTTAAAGTAGTTGAATAGCAAAATGTATTCCTTAAATATTCTTTCAGTGTTTATATTTTCCTTTTTGCAGACTCCCCGACAATACAGCCAAGCACTAAATAAGAGTAACAGAGTTCATCTTTACTGTGCATTTCTGGACTATAGGTATGTTGTGTAATTTCCAGTTCTTTAATGTGCATTAATGAGATTACACCTAGTTTGTGATGCTGTATGTTACCTACATTCTTCTTGTTCTCTTTCATTTACGGAAATAGTTAAAGAAATAGAGGCACTGTCTTACAAAACCCACAATCTGAGTGGCTTCTTACTACAAGGAGAAGACTTGTTATTCATAGACCCCTAGTAGGTGGGTAACTGAGACACTGAAATATTTTGGAATCAGAACTGCAGACTGATACAAATCCTGCTTATCTTGGTTTATGAATATGTCCACTTGGGCAGATGCTTGGATGTTTTAAGATGGCAAACCTCCAGCAGAGCCATTATTTTCACTGGATCTGTGTCCGTGTCACAGCATCATGTGAAGTCAGTGTTTCAGAGCTGTGAATTTTGGCCAGTGCATGGAAGGGTGAAATACTATGCCCCTGAATGCAGATTAGAATAAAAGGGAGATAAACATCACCTTAAATTTCACTCAGGAAAGAGGAACTATGGGAAAGCAGTACCTTTTTTTTTGTTAGCCCTGAATATATTTCATCTGTTTTTTGTTTCCAAACATACTGCTTTTAACTGAATTAATTGAGAAGGGATACAAATAATGAATTTTGAATTTCATGGGTATTAACATTTTTTGAGCCATAACAGTATAAGCCTAACTACCACAGCAGTGGCCTGCAATGCTGTGGTCTCTCCTCTCCAGCAAGCGCATGCAAGGTCACTGTAATTGCTTTATTGAGGTTTTGTTTCAAGTACGTTGAACTGTCCCAGCTGTTGGCAGTTACTTGTTGTTATGGTTACTCACAAATTACAATAAATTAGAAACAGATTTTACTGAAGCGAATTAATATGGTTGGGGCATTGTTCCTGTACTGTTTTCCATTGAGGCTTGAGCCCTTGAGGCTTTGCCTTCAGATAGAAACTGAAATATGAAATCTGTCCTTCCAAATGAGTTTTATTTGTGTCAAGATGGCCTTATTCCCTAGTGCATGGCAGTTAAAGAATAAGCAGTTGGTTTCTGACCTATGACAGACTCTGTTTGAAAGCTAGAGGAGGTCCCAAAGGACAAAAGAAAGATGATTTAAAGTAAGTACCAAGAAAAGTACAGATCACTCTGTCTAGCATCAGGACCCAGCATAATAGCAAAAGTAATAGATGGGTAAGAAGCAGGCAGTTTGGGTGGGTGACCTACAGTGCCTGAGCCCATGGAGCCCACAGTTGTGTTCCTGTGGCTTCTGTGTCCCCACACCACTGCAGGGCTCTGATAGCACTGAGGGTTCTGGGTTTCCCTGGTTCCAAGGAGAAGCAGACTCATGAGGATCACTTTCCTATGAAGCCTTGGGACCTGGCCACACAGCCAGTCCAGCCATATCCGCAGAGGAGGTGGAGCTGCTTTTGTTGCTCCTGAGGCTGAAGTGACAAAAAACAACCGACATTGATGGGTCACTAGAAATCCTGCTCAGCCTGAATTACTTAACTTTGACAGGATGAGCGGCACAGTGGATAAGGGAGGGGAAGCAGATATGATTCACTGACTTTTATGACTTCTGCATTATTGACTTCTCTGATACTGTAGCTTTCAGAATAGAGGAACCTGGGTCTAGGTGAAATGCCATAAATGGGTTGCACAATGTAAAGAAAAATGTAGTTATCATTCACTGGCCATAAGACTGGGAAGAAATCTCTAGTGACATTCATGAGGGTTCTGATCCAAGCCATGTTCCAGTCAGGATTCTCCTTAGGTCATGATGGACTTGAGAAGCCACTAGCAGTATTTGTGGATGCTGCAGCCTGAGATTGTTTTCATACCTTTGTATCTCCTGTACAGTACAATGCATGTCAAATTAACCTGCACAAGCTTCATTTTGATAGAGATTATGTTCCTTTTTTTGTGTGCTTTGCAGCAATGGAACTGGTGTTTGGTCAAATGAAGGTTGTGTGCGTGAAAGTGGGGACCTCAACTACTCAGTGTGTCTTTGTAACCACCTCACTAACTTTGCCATTCTGATGCAAGTGGTGCCTCTGAAGGTGAGATTAAATGAAAGGGTAAATATGTCTGTTAAAAATTAAGCATAAATACATCAGTTGCATCATCACACCACATCAGGAAGTGATTGGAACTGGGCTCATTTTTGCCAAACTCAGGTTGATTCCACATCTGGGATGATGTTTTAATACTTCTTGACTGTATTTTTTAAAACTTTGGGGAACTGAAATGAAGCATGTTGTAGGTGGGAATTCTCTTTACTCACACTTCTGGCGTGATTTCTTAAGGGCAGGAATAGCACTAGAGGACATTGTACAGGTGACAATACAGGGAATTTATAATTTTTTGGTGATGAGAGCGGGTCCATGTTGAGTTCCAGGTAATGTTGCTGCTAACAAGCCAGTGAAGAATGTAATCCCTCCAACGTGCTTCAATTACAGTTCCTCTGGTTTGGCTGTTGTTTAGTCCCTCTCTCAGATTTGTTCTGAAAATCTCATCCCAAGTCTTTGTCCAAGATATATCCTTAAATGTGACTGTTTAGGATTATCTTCTGGTACTATTTTTTTTAACCAGTATAAAATATGAAGTTGAGATGTGGGCAAAGACAAAAGCTTTTGAGCTCCACAAGCAGTCTATGCTCAGTTACAAATTCTTCAAACATGTGCTAAGTATTTGCTTCACATGTCTCAGCAGTAAAGCCTATTGAATCACCTAGACAATTGGAAACTTCTTGTACGTGTCCTTGGAACCCTGCTAAGTAAATGTTAAAATAATGGAGATTTTAAACACATATACATGTTTATTCACCATGTTCTGAAAGTCATGAGCCAAGGTTCAGAGGGCCCATATAAATCACCCATTGGAATACTAGATTGTCAGTGCTCTAAGAAATTGTTGCAGTGATTTTATATTCAGTCTTGAACTTCTGTATATTTTATTCTTTTTTTTTCTTTTCATAAATGGTGTTCACAGATCATATAAGACAGGGAAAAGAGAGGGTGGGAGTATGCAGACGCCCACATTTGAACAGCTCTGTTTATATGGCTGTTATATATCTGTGGCTGTATAAATAGAATTGGATGAAATTTTTCCACATGAACACTATTTTTGACAGAACGTTTATTTTTTGTCTAGATTCTGTTTCTTACAAAAAGGGGTCTGCTTTTCATGGGAAATGTAAATAAATGATTGGAAATTGATTGTTTGAAAACTGGAAAGGTTTTCATCAAAAGCTGTATTTTGGTATAAAAAAGTGACTTAATTTTTCATGGGAATTCTACTTGGGGTGCTTTGTACTTTTGTTCTCCTGTGGGAAGTATAATTTCCCTTTCTTCTGTTGTACTGATAAATGCAGCTTTCAGGGTAGCACAAGCAAACAGATATCCTCTCCAAGGGCACCATAACAGCCTTTAACCTAATGCACTGGTCAGCAGAACAGTACAGCCAGGTATGCATAGCTCTGCCACCCCTTGCAGAAAGGCAAGCTGATGCACAGAACAAAATAAGAAAGAGGGGGATATTGGTGATTCTAATGAGATGTAATAGAGGCCAGTACGTGTACAGCAGCTTCAGGCCTGGGAGAACACTGCTGTTGGAAATCTATGAACTCTTGAGACCAGTTCAGTGCAATAAATGTTGTAACTGTCTCCGCTCCTTTTCATGAGACTAATTTTCTTTTTGCTTAACAAAACCCACAACCCTAAAACAATGAAAAAACCCGTAAGCTTTCCATTAACGAGACACTGTAGTGTTTTAAGGAGCTGGCTGGTCACAGCTGGAGAGTACAGCATACTCTGAGCTCAGACAAAGCAAAGGTGTCTCTAAGCAACAAACACTGACAACAAGTGACCTTCCTCAGAAGTAACCTGTCACGTAAATACTTGCGACAAGCATTATATGGTAAGTATTTGTCAAGAATGGTAGCTTTTTCTTCTGACTTGTGCTAAATTCAAGCTAGAATTCTTGTTCTTAACTCCTTTCCCTTGTTCCTTCACATGCTTAAATCTAGTTTTCCCCACTTACAGAACAAAGCATGATCCAGACCTTGTCAGCTTTGGCCACTGTGAACCTCCCCCAGGGCTGCCCTTCCTGCCAGTACTTCTCCAGCTCATTTTCATACCTTCCCCAAAATCCAGCACATATGCACAGTTTGTGCCTTTCTTGTGGGCATAAATGCCCTTATATATTCTCAAGTTTATCATTGTGATTTTATTATAAGGTACAGAACTGTCAATAATTTATGAACCTGGCTTGGGGAGGAATTAGTGTCTCACATGGATTTCACTTTGTTTCAGTGAGGCATTCATAGGAACAAAATCGTAGGATATCTTACATCTAACGGTGTTTCCTCTTGAATACTGGAAGTATCGTGAGATGAGGAATGCTGGCAAATTGTTAGACCTTTATGGAACAAACTGTCAGGTGGGTCTAATTTTCAGGGAGCATAGAAATGCAAGAAAGTTCTTAGGAACAAGCTGCAAGGTCTTGATTTTCCTTCTTGATCTTTACTCAAAAGAGCTTAGATTGATTCAGTCAGTATTCTGCTGTATGCCAGCTGGAAGTAATCTCCAGAGACTGAAATCTGCTGAGATGAAGAAGCAATTTTATTCCAATATTTTCAGAGAAAGAAATTGAAAGAGAGAGGTCATAAAGAGAAATTTAAAATTCTGGAATTTTAATTTAAATGTGACAAAATGAACCTCTGCTCTGATATCTGTGTGCTATACCGCAGTGTGGGAAGAAAAAGAACTCTGAATTCTGTGAGTAAGCTAAAATCGAGCTGGGATTACAAGTGTAGTTGAATGCTGCTCCAGATTTTATATTAGTTTCAGCAAGAGCTTGAATGCACTGAAGCTGCAGTGATTGTGAAAGAACGGCATGAACAAAAGTGCTGATTAGCTTGAGATGCATGTATGCAGTTTAGCTGCTTTCAGTGAGCAGGGGATTAGCAGTTGTAACAAGTTTATTTCAGGAGTGAAGTAACCATCTTGGAAAAAGCTTAGAGCCATGTGGAGCTCAGATGTCAGCCTGGCACTGACCTGTTAGCCTGCTGATCAATTGGCCCACGTGGAATACCAGAATTATTTGTGTTTTTATCACTCTGGGGTTATGTCTGTATCATGGCTGGCCCAAATCCATGCTTGCTTGCTGGGATTCATTTATCATCTTGGTTTTAACTTCAGAAATGACAGCATTTATGTGGAGGTTTTGGATATTAGTGACTATCAACTGGTTTAAATGAGTCAACAAGTTAATTGAAGGTAAAATGTGACTGAAGATGAGCAGAGTGTTCGTGAAAGGGACATGTACAGCCCTTGATTGCCTTCATGAAGTTATGTGGATGCAGTTAAGGTCAGAAATTCCAAATGAGAATTTGGAAGCTTTGTTCAAAGTCTTTTCACAGCTCTGATCATGTTACTAAGATAGAGAATTTCACAATTGCATCTCCCCCACAAGATGTGTCCCTGGGACGTTCAGAGCAGTTGTGCAGATATTAACTAATCCACGTACCCCTCCTCTGGCAAGCTCATTGCTCTGATCAGGCTTCTCTTTCTGATGGGGGAAACTGAGGTAGAGTTAAAAAGTCCCTCGTAGCAAATCGCAGCTAAAGCTGCACTCTTGGCGTTCGTATCTGCCCTTCTCATACCTTAATGCACAGAAGCATTCCAGTGTTCGCTTCATCTGGTGCAGTCAGAACAAGCCTTTCCTGCCAGCTGCCCTGCAGTGTTATAGTTAAGGAGACAATGGTGCATTAATATAGCTGTGGTAGGAAAAATAAACAATCCATTTAGTTTGACGTGTTTACACTGGTTTATGTTTGCTGCTTCTGGAGAAAGTCCATGCAGAGGTGACCCAGGGTGATATGCTCCCTGTGGTGGTTTTCTTGTAGTACTGTAGTATGACAGTGCTCCACTGCGCTGCAGGTTTGAACCTGGACAGGAACAGCAGAGAATGGGAGATGAGGTATTCCCTCAAGAACGCATCCTCTGCTAGCACAGAGGCTGGGGAGATCACAACCTGCAGCGCCACCTCCTGCATCCAGCAGAACTTCCCTCTGGAAGGGAACTGGCTGGTGAAGAGATCCCATTCCTCTGGGGTGTGAGGGACAGGTGAAATCAGAAGAGACATGAGCCATGCTCCTCTGGTGAGACAGATGGAGGAATGTCTCAAGGTACTTCCTAGACAGCAGGAATCAAATCCAACACAGAGTAAGCCACCTTTTAAAAGCACTCCAAAGCAAATTCAGATGCTATTATTTTATTTTGGGCAGCTTTGCTTCCTCTCATCAGTCAGTGGGACCCTATGCTCCTGCCAACAAACATGCCAGCCATCTGGCAGGTTTTATTTTTATAGTGATCCAATAACTGCAAAACATGCCAGGCTATTTGTACCATCTGCCACATAAATGTCATTTCATGAAAAGGATGGTGGACACCTGGGGATCCAGAGTCCAAGAATCCCTTTTAAAGGGGAAATCATTGCCTCCCACAGGAAAGTAGAGCTTGAGGTTTGGGTCTCCCTCCCAAGCGACCAGTGCAAGAAACAACTGTAGTATTTATGGCTCCTAGACCATTCTCTTAAATTGGTTATTTTTCCCCCCGTTTTTTCCTCTTTCTGCCTTTTTCAACTGTGAGGGTATAAAAATGACTACTATAAAGTTCACATGTGGATGGACATTTCCAGTGAAGTAATAGTGTCGTCCAATCTGTGGCAGAAATTGTTCAGGATTTTAAACACATTTTCTGTATTTCTAAAGCTAGAAATGACTTTGGTTTTCATCCCGTTTGTAGTCTTGTTCCATAATTCAAAAGGGAGGATCAATCTATACAGTTCAAGATGCTCACCAATGGGTTTAAAAGCAGAGAAGTGTTTGTAAAGGGGGAAAGTATTTCCAACTGTCTGATCTTGCAGCTAGAGCTCTAGGGACAACCCACAGCATCTTTAGGGAGCCCAGAATTTTGAAAAGGCTTGGGGCTTTGGCTGTGAGCTTCTATTTGTAAAAGGAAAGACATCCTAAATTTCTTCTTTAGGGCAATATGTG